AACAGGACAAAGTAGAATTAGGCCCTTAGAAAGCGTACTTGAGGTGAGCTGGAAGCGGTTTCAGGTCCATATGTGGTGGCTCCTCTATCAATGGTTTCGCAGGTGGGGTTGTTCTTTCTTCTAAGTCTAGGGGCTCGAACTGGGGTTCCCTTGCCCAGAACCCTTGACCTTCTAGAGCCATGACCCACTCTGCTAACTCCTCACCATCCACATGTTCCAGATTCATCAAGTAAGCTTCTAACGGATCCCTGACATTAATAGTCTCATCCTCCTCTTGTAGTATCACATCTACAGCCTCCACTAGTGAGCAATTTGCAAATTCGCTGGGTCTCCTCATAGATTGTTGAACATTGAATATGATTTCTTCATTGTTCAACTTCATTTTCAATTTCCCGGTCTCACAATCAATTAACGCTCTCCCAGTGGCTAAAAACAGCCTGCCCAGAATGATTGGTATCCCTTTATCCACCTGACAGTCAAGAATGACGAAGTCGGCAGGGAATACAAATTTCCCTACTTGAACAGCACATCATCAAGAATTCCAGTCGGTCTTTTCACTGTGCGATCAGCCAGTTGCAGCAACATTGAGGCCGATCTAGCTCTGTCAATGCCCAGTTTTGTATAGATTGCCAAGGGCATCAAGTTTATGCTGGCTCCCAAATCACACAATGCTTTAGCAAAAACATAACTTCCAATGATGCATGGGATAGTGAAACTACGTGTATCAGAAACCTTTTGAGCCATAGGTCTTGTCACTACCGCGCTGCAGGTCTGCGTCAGGTCCTTCATCATTTTTGCATACCCTGGCATTTCCCTCAAAGCATCCATCAGTGGAATATTCAATTGAATTTGTCTGAGCATTTCCATGAACTTCCTGTATTGATCATCTTTCTTTTGCTTTGCCAACCTCTGAGGGAATGGTGTAGGAATCAACCTCTGCCCACTGCTTTGCGTCTTTTCTTTGCTGGAAGCTTTTTCTACTACCTGTTCTGGGAGTTGTTCACCTTCCTTCTCCTTCCCCTTGTCAACCCGTGCTTGCTCGATTACAACCTCGGTGAGCTCTGCCAACTCATCAGTCTCTAATGTAACTAGGGCAGCTGGAGTGGTTGGCATTGTCTCTCTCTTGGATTGAGCAACTTCTTGCTCCCTGTCTAAATCTCTCCCATTTCTAAGACTCACTGCCATGAGATGATTCGGGTTCTGCTCCTTTGGATTAACGTTTGTATCTGCAGGCAATGTTCCTTGTGGGCGATTGTTTAAGGCCATAGATAGCTGTCCCAATTGAGTTTCAATGCCTTTGATTGCTGAGTCATGTGCAGCTAACTTCTCTTGCATCTTTCCATTTATCCCAATGAGTTGTTGAAGCATACCCCTGATTTCGATCATGTTACTATCCTACTGCTGTTGAGGTGGTTGGTAGGTCAACTGTTGTTGGTGTTGCTGATTATAGCCATGTTGCCTTTGGTAAGGTATGACTTGGCCTTGTGGTCTTGCTCCTCCTGGATTGGGGTTGTGTTGTGGCTGGTTCGGTCTGTACTACTGGTTTGTTGTTGGTCCCCATTGCTGCCCACCTTGCCTCTGACCTCCAAAATTATTGACATAATTCATGTCTGCTGTGTCCCTGGTTGTCATTCTCTCCACTCCACGAGCACACATATGACTGGTTTATGCAAGGAGTGCACAAACCTCCATTTGTGGTATCCACAATGTGCACCTGTTTCGTACCCATCTCATCGATTTTCTTTATCAACAAGCTCACCTGGGTCATAAGAGTGGCTATGTTTTCTGCATGTGTGTTGTTTGGGTCAAGAGCAACAGAATGCACTGTTGGAGTGAGTATTGTGTCTCTCGTCATCCAGCCTGAATTTTGAGACATCTTGTCAACAAGAATCTTGCACTCTGTGAAAGTTTTGCTCAAGAATGCACCCCCGGCTGAAGCATCTACATTGGCCTTCAGACTCTCAGCCAAACCCATATAGAATCTCTGTCCCAGCATCTGATCCGGAATGCCATGGTGAGGGCACTTCACCAACATGCCCTTAAACCTCTCCCAGGTCTCTTGCAAAGTCTCAGTCGGTTTTTGCTTGAATTGCAATATCTCATCAATCTGCCTCGCAGTTTTGTTGGGTGGATAAAACTTGTTTAAGAACTGCTTGACTAGTTCCTCCCAAGTAGCAATGGAGTTTATTGGGAGCGAATTCAGCCAAGTTTGAGCCTCCCCAGTTACTGAGAATGGGAACAATAATAATTTGATTGCCTCAGGGGTAACATTTGGTTGTCTTTGAGTGACAGGTATTGATAGGAAGTTCTTTAGATGTTGTTGTGGATCTTCGATGTATGACCCGAAGAACAGCCTTTTATTCTACAATAGGTGCAGCATGTTGTTGGTAATCTGGAATGTCTCCGCTTGTATGGGCGGAACCGCAATTGCCGTGGCCAGGTTATCAGTAGTTGGTTGCGCCCAATCATAAAGAGCAGCTTCTGGCACAAGAGGTGCTACCACTCTGACGTTTGGGTCATCTCGATCATTCTTGTTGTTCCCGTTGACGTTGTTTACGTCATCCATTTCAATTTCGATTTGTTTGATTTTTTCAGCTGTTTGCTCTTCTTATTAGCCCGGTTCAATGTCCGGAATGCTTTCTCGGGATCTGAGAGCCCTTCAAAGAGTTCACTAGTTCTCGAAGAGCTTCTAGGCACGCACCTGAGTTACAGAAGAGTTCAACCGTGAGAATTTCAATGGAAATATTTTACACCACAGAAATTTTATCAAGACTAATAATCTTAGCAATTCTTCAAAGTTGCAATAAATAACACCGTTAGTTCCCTGGCAACGGCGCCAAAATTTGATCATGCCCAACTACGCCTTATAAAAAGGACTAAGCGGTCGCTGCAAATATAGAGTCGAATCTCACAGGGAACTAACCTATTTACTATAACTTTTAACATTGCTAATGAATAGCTCAAACAATCCCCGGATGCAAGATTTTTAATGGATAATGAGTAAAATTTAGTGAACTAATGAAAAACAATAATAAAACTAGCAATAATCAAGAATAGAGTTAACTTCAATGGTAGAATGGTCTAGAGTTATTGATTTCCCCAATTTTCGGATTAATTCCTGACACGTTAGCTATAATTTTGCCGTAATACTCTATAAGAAATATGAGTTCTAGGTTACCGCAATTATCTCTCGATCAATTACGATAATTTACTAAGAGCATTCTCTCGAACTACTCTAGTTAACAAATTATGCAACTCAAAATTATTCCACCAAAGCTTTGTTATCTCTAGCCCTGCTTTTAAATTCAAGTAATTAATCTCTTAAGTTACCCAAAAGTGGTATTGTTCAACAACAATCTAACCTAGTGTTCTTTCTCAAGCAACACAAGGTAACTAGACACGATTAATCAAGGGCCCTTTCAATTAATCACACAACAACACATAGTTGAACAATTATAGAATAAGAAACGGCTTAATTATATCAAAACGTAATCAAGACTTCATCCAAAAATTGGTTCCATCAACCCTAGATTAAATGTTTAGCTACTCATGGTAAAACAAGATAAAGCCCTAAAATAATTCATAATTAACAAAATAATGATAATAGGAAGAAGAATGAAAAACTCTAATGGTGTCTTGATCTTCTCACACTTGTTCTTGCCTCCAATTGATTCTAAAAACAAGCTTAACCTTGACTTGGGCGAGTTTGTTGAGTTTATATAGGGTTAGGATAAGTTTCCCATGCTTTACACTTTATCCCCTGGACTTTCTCGGCCTTCTCCAAATCGACCGCGGTCGCGGGCCAACCGCGGTCCGACCGCGGTCGTTTTAGACCATTCTATTTTATGCCTTGTTCTACCGCGTTCCAGCCGCGGCCCGACCGCGGTCGCGGTGGATTGTTGCCTAGTTTTTCTTCGCCTTTTCTTGCTCGTTTTCATCCGGGCTCTTCTCGATTGGCCTTGTATCTACATATTTATTCCCAAAACACTCTATATCCTCCTCCTAACTCGGAGTAGCTCCTACAAAGCATAAAAACCTCAATTAGAGCATTTTGTTATCATTTAGCGCTTAAAACATCAATAAAGTATTGTTAACTTAGAGCATAAATAGCATCTGGATCACTTCCTTACTCCTTATACCAAGAATAATTCACATGGGTAGATTACCTTAGCGTAACATCCTAACCTCAAGAGTGGACTCTCTCTCTAGCCACGTAATGTCCCTAACCGGCTTTCATACTCTCAGTCAGAGGTCCAGACTTACCTTCCCTTCATGAATCACGTGCCTACTCACCACAAAAGAGACTTGTGTCATGGTCACTATAATTCACACACCGAGGAATTCAAATACGTGAGATTTCACTCACGCTCAGAAATAAATTCTTATGCCACAAACAACGCACCATAGGCTTGCCCGTAGTGTAATACTCGACTAATCGAGCCCATTTGGTCTAGAATCAAGTAGGACTTTATTTGGTTGTAATGTTGGCTGCCGGACAGGTAGGATACATATGGGTATAGTGACTACACCTCCCTAAGCACTTCAATACATTTTCCACTTTTAAGCCCATACCTTTATCAAACCTTCATTCCACCTTTACATCATTGGGTTAAATCCCCTACTTCTTTAAGCACACTTTCTCTTTTAAAGACCACCACTTTTGAGACTTATTCTTTTAAAAATTATTCAGCTCAGTCTCTTCTCCCTTTTTTTTTCAGATTCTACTGGCTTCTAATATTGTTTATCACACAGTGCACCCCCTTTTTTTATGTCTTCTTGGTTCCACTCAAAAGCCCAACCATCCACCCCACTTTAGCTTTTCCATATTCATTACAATCAAGTGCTTCTAAGAGGGGATAGGGTTCAAAAAGATAGGTACTTCAAAACTTGGGTAAGGCTTGTGATGTGGTTGCCAAAGAAACAGGATTACAGGCTCAAAGGGGTTAACTAGGATATATACACTCAGGTGGGTGAAAACATATATAGATAGGTTCAACAAGGAAACGCCTATATCACTTTCCAGACCAATTAAGACTACCATTTCGCTTCGTACACACACAGGGCAAGTTCTAGGCATTGAGTGTTAGCATAGAATACACAAAGCCTCACTCACACATGGCACATGACTCAATTCAGTTAAGACCATCAGACACTCTACTCAAAGTGCTTACGCCAACTCAAGAACACACAATTTAAGGCTTTATTGCTAGAGTCAACTAATGAGCCTAAGTGTCACACTAAAGCAATCTCTATTCAAGGTACCATGGAGTCAAGGGATCCTATTTCTATTCTTTCCTCGCCCAAAAATTCCTAAACTAACAAAAAGAAAAAACTAACTACACCCAGTTCAAATGAAAACCGTTGGAAAAGAACCGTGGTTTAAAGAAAAACCAAGGGGGAGTTGATACACTACCTAACAGACAAAAATCTTTTTTTTTGTTCGACTTAAGTCCCTCAAGAGACCCGTCGAGAGGTGTCCATCTTCGGGCCAAGTCGAAGTTAATTAACAGCAACCAAAAACACCAAACAAATTTATACAATTGTACAACAACAACAACCGTCCCCCACCCCACACTTAAAGATTTGGCATGTCCCCATGTCAAGGAAATTAATGTAGAGTAAGGTAGGGGGACTCCCCTAGTGCTCAGTCCTGATCAGAGACGGTGCCAAAATCGAGGTGACACGCTCGTCCTAGCGCCCGGAGCCAGCCCATGATCTTTTTCTCTGACCTAGCATTTTGAGTAGCCAAAGTGTAAACTCTAGCACTCAGGTCAATGACCGACGTGCGTAGGCCAACCATATCCTGTTCCAAGGCAGTCATCCGGGTACTCCGGCGAGCCTGTGATGGGCCCGCCTCATCAGCAATCTGCCCCGATGGGGCGGCAGCATGCATAGCTCCCTCATCATCATCATCATCCGCATCATCATCATCCGCCACATTCTGCTCTTTCCCAACTGTGATTTTGCTAGCCTTGAATGGGGCTTTTAATGGCAACTTCCCATCTACTATGGGATTTTCACGAACTCGTGAAGCACGACACAGCTTGGTGACCAGGGAATAAGTAGAACCCTTTGAGTATTTTCAGGGAGCGAATGAACATTTCATCCTGAATAAGCCGGGCCACATCAAAATCATGGTGGGTTACAAAATAATAAATCGTCGCTGCTCTTGGCCCATTAACATCTGTAGTGTTGCTGGATGGCAGCAAATGGCTGCCGATGATTGTTAGCCAATACTTAGCTTCCCAAGTGAGAGATTGGGAGTTCAGGGTCATTCTCGGCTTTATCCATATTGGATCCCGGCCAGCCACACAGATTGTTTCAACAATTGGTTGCCACCAGACAGGTGGGCGTTGATAATCTTGGTAATAATCCGTCTCTCCAGT